TGTTTGTGTTCTGTAATTTGGCAAAGCCAAAAGCCCATGGAGATCTTGAATCGGGTTACAGTGCTCGTTATCGAGCGACCTCGAAAGCGAATATCTATTTTGGATTGACGGTTCTTGTTATCTATCGAGCAACCGTTAATGAACATTGGATTAACGATATTCGAGAACATAATATTTTAGCTTGAAAGAAAAATAGCTATTGAGCTTCCGATTCAAATGAAAATATAAGTAAAATGTTATTCTAAAAAGAGATTTTTGATGAATAAATGGACGCAGAGAGAACTGCTTCATGTCAGAAATTCAAAAATGTGCATAAATATAGTAAAAATCAAATAATTATTTTCGTTGCTTTTACATGTAGTTAAGGTTTTCGACGGAAAGTTCCTTCCCCCTTACTGTCCGGAATATATTGGATGAGAACCTTATAGAAACTTACTCTCATTGCAAGGCAAGGAAAGAGATATTACTCTTAACCCTTTAACACTCGCGCGACTTTCATGCGTACTTGAAACTCTGCGTAGACTTTAGCACTGCAATAGGGATATATATGTTAATATAGATATGGTATCCATTGCGTTTGTTGTGGTAAATCAATCCCGTTTCACATTTGCTTCATATTTATTTGCATAATGTTTCATATAATATTTCCTCATGTACATTTCGCTTTCGTATCAGTGTATTTCAGAAACTTCGTCTTTGCGATTTTCTACATAATTTTTATGTTATACGAAAGTTTCGGGTTGGAAAACGCTAAGCATTTTTTAAAGGAGAGAAAGGAGGATTTTTAATTTTTCTTCTTCCTAAAATTTCAATTAAAAATTTTAAAAACCAATATGGAAAGATTTTACTACGAGTCTGGATATAAAATTGATGTAAAAACTGCTACAAGGACAGACAGACTAGAGCTGTTAGTTTCAATTAGTTATGTAATATGAATTATTATATTAATCACATAGGTTCTACTACTCTGGTATATTCAAGACTTAACGTAGGACTGATCAACAGATCACAAGAATTTTTAAGTTGCTTTCGCTCCATCTTACATATCAAGTTGACTTCTTCGATATGTAGTTGCGGCGTTATCAACTATATACCTTAGAATTTGCAATCATTAGCGATTAGAGAGCACAAGAAATTTTGAAAATGTAACGTATTGCATACATTACGTGTATTTTGATGACTCGGTTAACGTAACAGAAGTAGTCCTGTTATTATACACTGGCAGCTATTTGATTGTTTGCTCTGTGTGGGCAAAATGATTATTGAACAAATGTTTTCTTGATATGACGTCATCCTGTATGCTTTTCTTCTTATCTTCCATGTTTTCAAGCGCACACACGCTTTAGTATGCATATATGTGCATATGTATGAAAAAAAGAAGAAAATACCAAACCAACGATAATCTAGTAAATTAAATATTTTTTCGTTTCATCGTTTATATCAACTTATGTTGCAGATTTCGACATTTTATGCTCGTTGAACGTTTCAATAAATTTAAGCGAAATTTCCCTATGAAATTTCCTATTGAAAGAAGCTTGTTCTTAATTAAAACAAGTGAAAATAGTATAGTGATACATGGCTCATCATCAAATACCCTACATCCACAGTTGTTAATATAACGAATTTTGAAAATGGTTGCTCTATATGGTAGGTGGTCGTAAAAGCGATCTGATCCGAATAATTTTCAATAGCATTTGTCTTTGAGCCAAAATCTGTCAGTTAATTAAATTTTATCAAAATGTGTTAAAAATTCTCACCTGTATGTTGAGCGCAAAACGGACACACGGACAGACAAGCTTAGATCTTCGATCTAGAGAATATATTTGAATCGATCGGTGTAATAAACGACGGACCTGTCTTAAATTCTTCTATGTATTGCATGGATCGATACACACTTCATATGCCCTTGTATCGCAAGTGGGATAGGGTACAAAAAACTGATATTTGTGGAATGTTTTTGCATATAAATATGTTTAAAATATTATATACATTTTTCCAGACTATGCATGACATATCACCCGAGGATCGTTATCTATTTTTTTAAATTATACGGATGCTACCCCAGGATGTATTTTAGGCCTATAGCCCATAATTTGCTAAATTGAAAATTTTTTAAGCGTCTATTCGACTGGACGTAATGACTATATTTATAAACAGAAACAGAAATCGAGCCACATAAAATTCTGGTTGTCTGTCCTGTTAAACGTCTTTGCCATTTTTTCAAGTTTTTTATATGTATGTATGTATGCGTTTTTATTCCTTTTGAAAAATAGAGGTGTTCTTCGTTTGCATGGCCCTTTACGCGGCTCCTTTCACTGATTTGGCAGATTTCCAATACCAATCTGTTTCTGTCAAATTTGAAGTCGATAGGTTCATTTTTGCGACTAGAATCATTATTACAACAGACATTATACAGACGGACAGATGGACAGATGAACATGTTTAAATTGATTTAGGATTTGATGCTAATCAAGAATATATACACTTTGTGGGGCCTCTGAAGCTTCCGTCTGGGCGTTGCGAACGGTTTAACAAAATGAATATACCTCTTATCCTTCGATGATGGATGTAGAAAGCAGTTGCTTTCCATGAGATAAGATGATTGAATTTTTATTAATTTCATCGAACTTGCAAAGCAATTGTAAGCAATAAAACTACTTTTCAAAAATTTTATTAAGCATTTTCATATACTCAGACATTTATTTATAAACTAGTTAAATATATATATGTATATACATATATATATATGTTTATATATTCGTTTTTTTTTTTTTTTTTTAATTTAAACAATGTTTTAGTTGTATACCAAATATTTTTGCAAATTATAATAAAGTATATTTTTATAATTTACATTGTGCTGCATTGTCCATTGGGACTTTACTATCAAAATTTTTGTTTAGGTATTTTGTGCATTCAATGTGTTTAAAATGAATAAATTTCGAGTTTTTTTCTTTATTAGGATATTCTCTTATCATTTTTTTCATTCCGTTCTTGGGGCACTTACAAACATCTCCAAACTTATGCAGGTTATCAATTGCCGAGCCCAATTCATTCGGGTTTTTACGTAAGTAAGATAGTTATATGCGGTTCTGATCGAGCGTTTTTGATTATAAATGCAAAATGTTCTTTTAAATGGAGGCGTGTCAGTTGGACTATTATTAGAATTTTTGCTGGAACAAACTTAATTGTTTTTAATTTGTAGGTTGTCTTTGTCTAATTTGGTCTCGTGATGGGATTACGTTTTTTTTATGCAAACATGTTTAGGAATAGGGGGAATAAACGATATTTGCACGAATTATTTGGTGTTGGTAATGCGATTTGAAAAGGTTCACTTACTAAGCATTGAAATGGCCGATGTTTGTCTATAAACAGCGAAGGTCTTATATATTTGTTATTTTATGTAGAGAAAAGCATCGAACTTAACTGTTCTTTGCATTACTTTATCATGTTCACCAATAGATGTCGTTGATCTACATACATGCAAGCATCTAATGGATAGGGAAGCAAAAAAGTTTTTTTTTTTCTCTATATTCCCTTCTCTTATTATTGAAGAAAGAAAACAAGCAAAAAAATTATATTTAGCTGTCGCCGAATATTTCATATGTATCGAGTAACGAATAAAAATCTTCATTTTTGTTTTTTTTTTTTGTTTTTTATTTTATATTGTGTGTGTGTACTTTGACCTATTTGGTCCATTTGAAGAAAATATCTTTAATTTTACGTTGGTCATACGGACGGATAAGTTTAAATCTTAAGTACTAACTCGTATTAATTATATTGCAGTACAAGTGGCGTAAGGTGAAATGTTGATAAAATATATGCATACAAAAAATAATTCCCGAATATCGGTATAATAAGGGGCTAAGGTGGGATGTATAGATACATCCCGTGCAAGAGTTGCAAAGATATAAAGATAGGTACGTGAACCAATTAAATACTTTACCAAGACTACAAGGCTTTCTCAGCGTTCCCACCGACGCGTCCTGGAATTGCCCGAATATCGTTTGACATACTACAGTGAATGGGCGTTTTTCAATTACATTGCTCGCCTTTGAAATACTCTTCCAGCAGTGGTCTGATATTTTCGCTGTTAAGTCAAACGTGCACAAGCGCTACTCCATCTTTCAATCCCTCTTTAGCTATAACCTTTCCTGACCGTCATCGCGCCTCCCCACATACCGAATACTTAAGATTCGCCGAAAGATGTATGTAACTTTACGACAAACTCTTCCTCATAAGCATTTGAACAGATAAGACTAATAAGTGACTACTAAATCATGGTTTGCGAGTCTCTAGTGTCCAGTGAGCTGAGACTACAACCGATATTTAGTCGGTAAGGACATAAAATTTACCGATTGAGCAGACATGCACCAGCTTGCGTTCACTTCCTATCACTTTCTCTTTGCTTACTTATTTCTGACCATCACCCTGTTACTTCGATAGGGAAATAAAAAAAAAAAAAGAGGTCAATTTCTAAAATAATATATCTGAAAATCGCTAATGGTTCAATGTCGATTTCAGCAACCATCATCAAATCGATAAAGGCGTTGATTTTGATCAAAAACCATATTAAAATTGAAAATTTTCGTGAAAAAATTTTGCTATGCTTTCCTTCCCGACATGAACCTTCTCTTTCGTATGACTTACGCTCTCATTATCACTTCGCAAAATAGAATTGATTTCTTTTCATTTCCTTAAAATGTACATATATAGTAGAAGCGGAACAGCCACTACGCATTGATTTATCAAGTTAGGCATAGAGTTAATATTTCATATAATTTTTCTTCAAATTTTAATAAAGTTTCATTATCAGTGTCCTACAAAGCTTTCAACAAATTCTTCAACCCTTTACATTGAAATTGTTTTAATTTCATCGTATATATACATATATATATATATATATATAAATTTTTTTTTTTCTTTTTTTTTTTATATATTTGTGGAGGGTTTAGCTTTTTTGTATGCTTGTTAGTTTATAGCATAACTTTTTATCTTAAAATTTCTAGGAACTTATTTGAACTCGTTTAACATTTTTCTATAAAATTACAGATTCTTCTCTTAACGTTTATAACAATTGCTGGTGGGTGTTGTATTGTAAAATTGTTTTTTTTTTTTAATTTTTCAATTTATATTTTTATTTAAATAAATGATTTTTTCATTTCTTTTATTACACATCAGCTTTTTAAATATATATAAATTTGCCTTATAGTCTGTTGTAGTTTAATCGGCATTCAAATATTCTTCTTCTTCTATTTATTATTATTATTATTATTATTATTATTTTTGTTTTATTTGTAAAAGTTTTCGATATGTTTTGGTTTAAGCTTTTTAACGTGTGTGGTTTGGATAAGTTCTCCCTTGATAAACTTTGAAACCTTTAACGATTTTTTCAAAAGAAAAAGGTAACCGTACAGTGGAGTCTTAAATAAAGGAATCCATGCTCTTGCATTAAGGCTTTTACTGTAGGCAAACAAATGAGTTTAATTAATTGAAAAAGTGCAAGCATTCAGTGAATGTTGACTTAATTTCTTTGAAGAACTGCTTGAATATTTATTCAAGTAACATATATGAAAGAAAAATAAATTAGAAGATTATGGGAGGGCAAGGCTGACCATTAGATAACCTACAGCATTTCACCAACAGTACAATTATTCATTATTCGTTTCGTACAATAACACCATGAAAAAACATTCGTCTTCATGACAGCCCGCATATTGAAGGATTCCCAAAACATCACATGACCGCCCACACTCAATTTATTTCTTACAAATTTTATTATTTTAGAGTTTCGGTTACAAAAAATTGCAAATGAGACTTTCTTTCTATAAAAGGGCTGGCTTACTTTTCATGATAACATCTATAGATGTTAGTATCTAAAAAATAGATCTCTCTGATCCATCATTATCGCTAATATAATTCCTATATTTCTATTATGGATTAATTTTGATCATCAAATATTAAAAATTAAATCTTTATTTGAAGAAGGTCTTATTATGCGTATGAAATACTATATGAAGTGGAATCCCAGAAATGGACTAATGTGATTCAAATTTGGTCCACTATCATGAACAAATTTTCATCATAAAACATTAACAATTTAGCATTTTTGGCATATAAGGGTTTACATTTCCTGAGATTTCTTACGTGCGGTAATATTCAAAAAATAGATCTAGATGGTTCAAAATTAGATAAGATTGACATCTATGTCAATTTACTATTAGGAACCAAATTTCACAATGAAGTATTGAAAATTATATATAATTACTATATAAAGATTCAGTTTTCGAAGGAAGATTTCTGTGAGAAGGGGTTGAAACAATTGCGCCGATCGAACCAAATTTTTCTTATTAATTTAGAATGTTTAGAAGTACTATTGTTCAGTGAGTTTTTTCGAAAAAAATTTAAAAATTGCAATTTTTTTCCATATAAAAACTTTTCAAAACAAGGTATTATACGGGGTTTGGTCAAAAACCATTTTCAATAGGAGTTGTCCTTGAGTCCAAGCACGTCATTGCATCAAATTTCATCAAATTGTCTCAAGGATTACTACCGGTAGGTTGAACAGTCGGACGGACGGACGGAAAAGCTTAAAACATGATTTTGAATTGATCGGTATAAGAATAGTTGGGTCTATCTTAAGCTCTTGTAGGTATTACATACGTTCGCACAAATATCCCACAAGTACTACCATTAGTGTATGGTATAGAAAAAATGCGGGAATTAATTGAAGAATCGCAGAGATGTGAGACTACGAAGTGTGTGTGTGTTAGGTATGTGACGATGGATGTAATCATCAAGAAGGACTAGAGATAGATCGACATTTCATCGATTTAAGCGGGCTTGTCCGTCTGTCCGTCCTGTCAAATACGCAATTTTCGAGATAGTTTGATGAAATTCTGTACGTGAACATGTTTTGGCCCAAGTATACTTCCCAAAAAACGTCTCTTTTTTAAAAAGTCGTTATATGAATAATTATAGGATGGTGTAGGATATTTAATTGTGAGACATCGCCCACTATAGTGTGTTTATTTGTTTTCAAGTCAAATATTGTCCGAAGAATATTCTCTATCTGCTTGTTGTGTACATGAAACTAAGTTGTATTATATGTAAGCATTTTCATAATTGTAATAGAGCTTCCAAGCGATTTGATTAATTTTTTGAGAAAGATTAGGAGCTACGTTTCCTATGAAACATTTCTCTTAAACATCAAAATCACGCGCCATTTGTACTGTTTGTAGTTTTTAATGACAATTTATCCAGATTTTCTTCAGCTGGCGTTTCATCAGACGATTGATAAATTTGATCTTCTTTATCGACGTGCTCTTCGCTAGTGTTTGTATCATAGTGGATTTGAGCCATATGCACAACTTGCTCTAATTTTCCATCATTTTTTCCCATTTCTACTTCAGCGTCATCGGTGTCGTCGAGATCTTCTTCCAAATCTTTAGCTATAGTCTCACTACGCATTAGTAAACGTCGCTTATTACATGCGCCTGTCATCGAAGGGACTTTAATGAGTAACTGTTCAGAACTATCTAAGGATTCAATGTGATCTAAGTTATGACTGATTACTGAGTAGACTCGTTTAGCGTCTACGTTTGAAGATTGTTGTTGCTGTTGTTGTTGCTGTTGTTGTTCCTCATTTGATTCTTCATTATTACTATTGTCGTCTATATTAGATGTTGGGGTAATTTTGCGATTAGCTGGCACCTCATCTAAGGTTAATTTTTTTATTGGCAATTCATATAAATGTTTTTGCTCCTCATCTATATGAACTAAGACAAATGGTAATTTCAATGATAACTCACCACCCATACCGGACAGTGTTAATTTAACTTTGACATAGTAAGAGACGTAAATGGCAAAGACATTACGTTCATTATTGGTAGCGCCGTTGGCAGCATTTGAACCGCCATGAATCGCACTAACAGCCGGAGGTATACAAACTCCGGGACTCGAACAATAATTCGGTGAATGCGATGCTTGCATTAAGTAATGAGGTGTGCGTACAGCCGAAGCCGCGATATTGCCAGTTATTTCATCGGGTTCGGTGCTACGTTGCAGCGAATCTTCTAAAGCTATCCAGTTCTTAGTTGTACCACGTTGAGGTTTTAATATGACCGCGGTATTAAACGTAGTACCAGGAGTTACGATACGATCCGTTGAAGATGGTACGTCCGCGTCGGCAACAACATTTTTAAATTTCCCATTATTAAACATGCACACATCGACATGCTGTATGGCACAAACCTGCAAAAATCAAATAAAACGAATTTATTAGAGAAAAATTGAAAAAAAAAAAAACAAAAATAAGGATTAAATTTGGTCGGCACCGAATCTTTTATTCCCGTCACCGCTTACACCAAAATACGACAAAGGAAGTAAAAGAGCAAAATTCTCATGCCCTATTATTTGGGGCGGGGGTAGTGGGTTTCTTCTTTTTTCAAAATCAAAGTTTTTGTCGTAGAGGCATGCGGGCGTTGTAGGCGTGTCCTGTAAAAAGTTTCGGTCAATTTCAAATTCTCTTGTAAACTTGTACGCGATATCTTTAGTTTCGCTGACGGGAGAATGTTTATCACAATCGCTGGAAAGTTGGGCAAGCGAACAGATGGACGGACGAGTAGGTCGACACGTTTAGGTGAAACTGGCTAATAATTTGTATGCTTATGGACGATGCTAGATATTGTGAAGATTGTTTCTGCGCGTTATAAAGGTATTGACAAAATAATTAAATTTTAAGACACTATAACATTGGGTAGGCGTGGTAGATTTGTACAAATGCTACAGCTTGCCCATAGAATATGCCTTCAAATTTTTGCACAATTTTTTGGCTATAGTTTATGAATAATGAGCAAAAAACCAATTTTTCATCGCTTTCGAAAAACAGAGGTGTTCTCTGTTTACGTGATGCTGTTGGCGTGTACTTCAATCGACTTGGCCCCATCCTCAGTACCAAACTGTTTCTGCCAAATTCGAAGTCGATTAGCTTCAACTTTGCGGCGAGGATAATGTTTACAATGGACATTGCACAGATGGATAGACGCGGACATGTTTAAATTGATTTAGAAGTTGAGTATATCAAGAGTATATATATATATATATACTTTGTGGGGTCTCTAAAGCTTCCTTTTTGGCGTTGCAAACGTTTTGACAAAATTAATACACCTCTGGGTATGAAAAGAAAAGAATAAAGAATATTTCACATATTTTAAGAATGTGTGTGTTGTTTATTATATAAAAACGAATGATATGAAAACTTTTAGTTTGCTCCTAAAGGAAGTTATGAAAAGCGAAACTGTTAGGAGTTTCTTCCCCGTAGAATATTTTTCACGCGAAAATCTTTCCTTTGTTTTTGTTTCCTCTACGTAAAAATATGTTACATTAGGTTAATAGTGCCAAGAACTTCTCCTATGTCTTTTATAATAAATTTTCACATTAATGGGATGCCTCCATAAATCATAAGAATTTAAAGAAAGAAAATATGAAAACGAAAGTTGAGCTAGAGGTTGGTATTAAAGAGTATTAAAGAATAAAAGACTTGACTTCTTTTTCCCTCGAATATTTATCTAATATTCTATACGCTTTAAACTCTTGCTGATTTTTGATATTTTTCAAATCTTATTATACTTAGCAGCGAAGGATGAGAGGTATAGGCATTTTGTTAAAACGTTTGCAATACCACAAAAAGAGGCTAAAGATAGCCCATAAAGTATATATATTCACGATCAGTCTTAAATTTTGAATCGATCTAAGCATGTCCGTCCGTCCGCCTGTGTAATGGTTGTTGTAAACGTTCTCCTCGCCACAAAAATGAGGTTATTCACTTGAAATTTCGCAGAAGTATTGAAACCTTTTGCATACAGCTTGATATTGAAAATGGGTTAAATCGCTCGAAAAATATGCCTCCAGAGCACTGTAAAATGAGCACGCCTTTGTTGTTTAAAAGGAATAATAATATTAATGGGTTTTTTGATTATTACTCGTAACGTAAAGCAGATAAATATACAAAAATTTGAAGGTATATTGTATGAGCAATGCTGTAAAATGGGCAAAATTGGTTACCCGTATCCGCCATTATAGCCCATCAAAATTTTATTTGATTTTTTTCAATACCTTTATAATGCGCAGTGAAAAGCTTCGAAAACTCCACAAAATATATAAATTCTTGACCATTTCCAAATTTGGATTGCTCCTAAGCATGCCTGTCTGTCCGTCTGTCCGTCTGTCAACTGTGTAGTATCTTTGGTAAACATGCTGCCGTTAGGTCGCCTACAAATTTGCAAAATAATTTGCAAGTCACCTAAACTTTTCAAAGGACACACCTACTGCGCCCATGCAAAAAGCTTTTCGTTTAAAAATAGAAAAAATCGATCGCGTCTACTTCATATTATAGAGCACGACATTACGACCAAATATAATTTTCTTATTTTTTGCTTGAAATCACTGACGTGGCTACGCGTAATTTGCATATCTGTAATATGCACCTATATACATGAAATGTAATGGCATCATGAAAACAGTTTTTCTTTTTTAATTATTTAAGTAAAAAGAATTCCATAAAAACATCCGACATTTTTATTCGTTTCACTCAGCGTTAAAGTTCGCTTTTTATTCTCCACATCACTTGTGGTTGCGAGGGTGTGTTAAGTTTGTGCAAATGTACGTAATAGCCAGAAAGATTTAAGATGGACTATCATTTTATTGGACCGATCGATTCGGAATCACTTCGTGAATCGTTTCGAAGCCGGTCTGCCCAATTTTTAAGATATAATAACGAAAAAATATTTCATCATTAAAATTTCCCTATAAAGATAGTTTGATCTAAAAACTAATTGAACCAAATTCGAAGCGGATGAATACATTTCTTTGACCTTGTTTCATATAAGTACTACATTCCTCTTGAATACTAAACCCCCTTAGAAAATGATTTCATTCTTAGTTTTTTATGATTAAAATTGGGTCATAGCAGCGATTTACATGCAAGGAGTTTGGATTACATAGATCTAGTTTTTTTTGGACCCCATCATATGAAAGAAAGTCTGTTTTGTAGTTTTTTTTTTTTATCATTTACATAAAAAGAATCAACAATCTTTGCTGTGTTATCACGACACGATGAACGAAGTGGCGGCGTAACGCATCTAACGGTTGGCCGTACCTGGCCTACTTGTTTTCATTTTCTTGCATTGCACATTGACATTTTTGTTTTATATGAAATGCAAGTGAAAAGCTTACTCATCCTATATGCAAGAACTTCGCATTATTTAACAGCTCTTTGAACACGTAAAAATTTGTAATGAACTATTTTTTTTTTTTTCTTTTTTGTAAAAAAAAAAGAACAATAAATGCAAAAAGTTACTAGAGGATAAGACCTTATTAGTGCATTTTTATTATCACCGAAAATGTACATGCCTTAAATTTTACTTCCTATGAATATTTTAACCTCAAATAAATCGAAAGATAATAAAAAAATTTTATATTAAAAAATATGTATTCGCTTTCTTATCTGGAGTAAATTACCTGTCAAGAGCATAAACCATTAAGAACCTGTGACCTTTAATCCATATTTTAATTGATTGTGAGCGAGCAATTTTATTAACGATGGCTACGTTTTTTCTTCCTGTTGGTCGGTAGCAAAATGCCTTCATTATTACATATACAGAAAGGCTTAAGATGAATTCATATTTTTTATAATAAGCTTGTCGATCCGTCTGTTCAACTGACACCTATCCGTGTAACTTTGTGCCCAACCTATAGTTGTAATTTTTAAGATTTATCACTGACGTTGTTTGATCCAAGAAAGGATGGTATTGAAAACGGCTCGGATCGATTCACTGTTTCGAGCGTTCCCCTTATAATGCTTTATTTTGAAAACTCTTTGTGTGGAAAACAATTGGAATTTTCAAAATTTTTCGACAAAGCTCACTGAGCAACAGAATTTCGACATTCAAAATTTATATTAAAAATTTGGTTCGGTTGGGCCAATTATTTGAACCCCCTCTCATGTAACCGTTACTACGAAAACTGCATCTTTACATAGTAAAAACGTCGAATTTGCAAAAATTTCTTGGTGAAAATTGATTCCTAATAGTCAATCCACAAGATAGTGAACTTTAATGAATTTGGATTACTTAGGTGTATTTTTTGGATACCGAATATAAGGATTCTCAGGCAATGTACGCCCCTATATGCCAAAAAGACGGAATTGTTAATGTTTTATGTTGAAAATTTGTTCATGATAGAAATTTGAAATAAAAATTATATGGACCAAAGTTGAAAGACAAGGGTCGACTTCTTGGACCTCACTCTCTCTATAAGATTTCTAATAAATAATAAGCGGTAGGGAATTTGGATTAGACAGGTCTATTTTTAGAGGTTATTATATATATATATATATATATATACAGGGGAAAGCAAGCCATTATAAGGAGGAGGAGTCTAATTTCAACTCTTTTTTTTTATTAATAAAATTTTTTTGAAATAAATCAAGTCTGCTAAAGTCGGATACTGTCATGTGATGTTTTGAGCGTCCTCCAATATGCGAGCTTACATTAAAAGTATGCCGTTGCATGCAAATCAAACGTGCATAGTTGGTATGTAAGAAGTGATAAGTCAATGTATAATAGAGTGAATATATATTAAAATTGCCAAAACGAGTGAATAATTATTTTAGGTAAAGTGCTGTAAGATATCCAATGGTCGGTCATGCCTGACTACAATGTTCTTATATGTTTCTTCGCTACTAATATTAGAAATTGTTTCCTTTATTAGATATTGTTGTCGTAACTGACGGTTTTGCAGATCAAATAATTTCATTACGCTGATACGATTTAGTTCTTTAAATTGCTTTATATGGTTACGCATCATTATTATCATTGAACGATGAGCACGTATTCGATCAGATTTTCAATTCTCCGTAATGTATATATATATATATATATTGTTTGCGTATAGAATAAGTTTCTCAGCCGATATAGTCATATTTGATTTTCGGTGCCTGAGTTTGCTTAAATTCAAATTCAAATCAAAAATCTGTAACTTACAATCTGAGATAGTCTGTGATCCAAAACTTAGTATAAATATTTTTCGGGGTCACTGAAAACGTTACTGCCTATGAAATCTATTCTCATCATGCTGCTGACATGCCCGCAATTAAGTAAATACTTTGCAAGTTTTCCATTATGATTAATGAGAATTTCATTCAACGTCAATTGTATGCATTTCTTCGATTTACGCGATAAATTGTTATGATG